CATGAGCATGTTCCACTAAAGAACGGTTTTCAACCATTTTGTAGTCATACAGCTGCTCCATAAGGTACAGCTCACTACTAGCATCAGAAACTCCAAACTTTACCTCAAGAGCATCCCATAACTCTTTGCCTGATGTGCAAGATATATAGTTTTTCTCATACTTACTGTGAAGTGCACTAATCACGGCGCCTCGAAACAGGTTATCGACAGTCAAGAACTTTTGCTCCTCCTCAGGAGTAAATTGTTCAGGCTTCCCCTGTGCGACGTGATAGCAGTTCATAGCAGTCAACCATAATATCACCTTGGCACGCCATATCATAAAATTATTGCCATCAAAATTATTTGGTTTCAAAGCAGCAGCAAAACCAATGATAGAAAATTACCTAAAATTAGGTTTTTTGATTGATAGATAATTAGGCATTTTCATGGTCAATTTAATCTAGAAATAAAACATCAGCAGGTTAGTGACGACATATATGTGCATGTGTATATCACTAACAAAAGCTACAGCCTGCAAGCATAACATATCGATCGATACAGTAAGTATGCAAAGTACAGTAATCACAGAGATAAGAGTGTACCCAACGGAGGGTCCCATGCCACAGGCATCGGAGACTCCATTCGCACCAGACATAGTGTGTTGCTCGAAGTCGTGGACCACAGTTGATGCTGGACGGTGTTCGCAGTGCAGTCCCATGAACGGTCACCAGGAAGAAGACACCTTGTTGTTCCGCGAGCGATCACCAGGAAGAAGACAGGTTCCGCGAGCGATCACCAGGAAGAAGACGTCGGACGAGCAGTCGCGGAATCGCTCCTCAAAAATCTAATCGCCGCACACCCCGTGCAAGATTCGCAGGCGAACGAGTGTTCCGAAGGCACCTGCTCTCCCGTAGCTCCGTACGCGTAGAGGAACGGGACGGGGAAAGCCAAAGGACGGCTAAGATGTGGTCTCTCGGAAGCGAAGCATGAGCATTAGACTGACGGAGAACTTCTGATTTATGCCCACAGCCGGGAGGGAGAAAGTCAGCGGAGGTAATTATGTGGATTAAGTGACAAAACCTGGCTACGCCCGCCTGCCTCGGCCACGCCCACGGCCCGGCTGACGGCAGCGGCGCGCGCGTGTGGCACTCCTAAGTCATTTTCTCAGCTTCTAAATTAAGATGGATAATTTCCAACCAAATAAGCTAAGTCGACGTTCAATTAAAATCTCGTATAATATTAAACCATACAACGCTTAATGTTAGGAACAATAGAGTTTTATTTGATTTATTAAATATTATATGGGCCAAGCCCGTAATATATCAACAGACTCCATCGCAGGGCTCCGCGTCATCGACCGGCCCATTATCAACACCGACCTCGACCGGCGGCGGCATCGGCTTCCCGCCCGCCGTCGAGATCTTCCGCGCCAAGGTCTGCAGGCCGACTGCTTCCTCTTCGGCGCATCGATGATGACTACTCCATCGCCTGTACGTTCTTCGGTTCACAACCCCTCCCTCCTGGCTTTCGCGCACACACCGGTACTGTGTTCTTTTACTGGATTTGGATGGTGTTGATGCGCGATGCAGCCGACGGCGGATAGGACGGAGTGACGCAGGCGCTGATTGTTGTTGACCTGCAGAGGGAGGCCGTAGGCGGGGCTCAGCAGCAAGTAACTCATGCTGTAAATTGACATCTCGCAGCAGGTTTCCACGAGTTGATTTGATTATTGTTGATGATGATTGCCACGGTCGACATTTAGTTGCTTCTTGTCTCCTGCAGGTTTGGTTATCTACTTTGACAAGATTTGTGCCAGGTAACTAATAATCTGTTCAGTTGCATCCAAAATTTATTTATCTACTATTATATTATTATTGTTGTTGAACTTTGTTTAATGCTATATGTGGAGTTTCAAGAAATAATAAAAATCTACACACCAATTTCATGATTTCATCTAATCAAATTAACAGTAACATTCTTCAGTATGTTTGTCTTAGTGTATGTCTTAGCAAGGTTGTAAAATATTATTTTACACGGCAAAAGATCTGCCGGCAGGGGAGCCCATACCTATTTTTTATTCTTCAGCAGAGAAAAAACTGATTACCGATTTTTGTCAGTTCAACTGAAACCCCAATGCGGAAGTGAACCATAGAGGGCTCCCTCCCTTGTCTAATGTTGCTTGTGCGGGATTTAGATGGGTTATCGAGATCTTTAGTTGAGTTTATTTCATTCGGTTAATTGTCATGAACAAATGATATTGACAGGAACTAGAATTGGATAGGGAGCAAGAGAGCAAGGTGGACGGGTGATGCATGCCTTCAGGCATGATCTGCACAGGGTGATGCTCCTTGGGCCAACAACATTGCTTTTGATGGCAATGAGGATAAGATGGTAAATTTTTTGTTTAATTACGCTCCAATATAGTCAATGGAGTAGACTCTCAGATTTAAAACGGTAAAACAAATTACTTTATCTTTCCACTTTTTTGACAGAAAAACGGAGGGGAAGAGACGTCCACACCTGATATATTGCACTGAGCCAGCAAAGAGCTTGCTGACCAACTTAAGAATAAGTTTTACAAAGCAATAGGGGAAGGAGAACTACTCCATGATGGAATAAAATTTCAATTAAAATGGTGCAACAACAATCCCTATTGGAGGTAGGTTCAGTTGAATGGCAAATTGATATCCATAATGCAATCAGGTGTAATACTCAACAAAGATTGCAATTCACGCATTGGCAATGGAGGTTTTCATAGGAAGAATTTCCAACTTTATACTCTCCTTTTACTGCTAATCTTCATAGGCTAGATATGATATTGTTCTATTCTATATACTATCCTACATATTATAGTTCTTTTTTTTTTTTTACTATGGACTAATAAAAGTAATTTTAGTGAGCAAACACTGATCGAAAAAAAAAAACAACTTTGAGTACAAGCCTTTTTGGTAACTTCCAAGCTTCTAAAGTATCTAAAGTTTCTTTCAGTAAATAAAAAATTTAGTAAGGTTTCTTTGACAATCTTTATTTTATATTATGAGGATGTGAGGAATAGTAGGAGGGGAATGGGAAGATGGTGAGATTATACTAAGCATCCAAGAACACATGGAAGAAAGATTTTGATGATGGTAAGAGGGTAGGCAAGCTACACTGTCAAGTGTCAACATACTTCAATCACAAGCTTTGCAAGTGGTTTGATGTGATAGATGGGGATATTAGCTTAACTGAAATGTTTATGTACTTCATGCATCAGGACTTTGTAATGTAGCTGTAGCCTATTGTATAGCAGCTTGGTAGTTAATTCTAAATCAGGGTATTATCCTATTGTTTCAAAGTAGAGTTTTCTTTTGATATCCACGTGCGTGTCGCACGTGCATTTTCACTAGTAAACAAAAAAATGTTGAAGAAAAATCTCATAGTTTTTAAACTAAGTATCTAAATCAAATTTTGATTGCACTTATGATCGATCTTCAAAACAAGACCGCATTTGGATATATTTGGATAATTTTCTATGCAGAATATTTTCCCCTGGAGGCGGAACAATTTTATTATTAAATTGAAACCATTGTTCCAGGGTGACAAAAAATTATCCTAGCGTTTAAAAAATATTCAAAAAAGTTCCTTCAAAACATGGTCAAGTGTGGTATTATTTTGAAGATCCCAATAAAAAATCTAATGGTGCAATCAAAATTTAATTTGAACATCTTATTTGAAAATTATATGTATATACTAGAATCATGCCCGTGCGTTGCACACGAAAATAATATCATTATAATTTATATGTAACCGTGTGTTGTACTATTATTATAAAAAACTACTCGCAACATTACATTTGTAGCTAGATCCGTCCTTTTGAGATTCATGTTCAATTAGAACATAATTCAAGTTTTGACATGATCACTTGAAATCATATCAATCTAATTCGTAGTGTAGCAACCGTGTTCATCACAACCGCCTACGACTATGAGATCCTAAGGTGAACTTCTTTTAGTCTGACATACTATTTGTATGTGTGAGATAAAACAACTAAATAATCTGCTACGACAGTACAAAATTGAAAAGAAAAATATTTAACTAAATCCAATTTATTTGTTTTTTAGGAGTTTGATTTATTTTTTACGGAGGGAGTTTATCCCTCTCATTTTTTCTAATTTTAATTTCATTCTTTTTTTTTTGTAAATTATACTTATATCATTATAGATTCTTAATTTGAAAATCGTCTACAAAAGTAAAGAAGAGTCATGTAGAATCTAGTTTGGGTAACAAAGGGTAAATTGGTGTTTCCTTTATTTCCCACGTCACGTACTCCTAACCGGACAGGGATAAATTTCTATGGACGATGGGTCCAAGCTATTGCTCGTGCGCCGTAGTCCAGACGTCTGCAGAGGAGTTGCACGAACACACGGTATGAGACTCGGTTTCGGCGCGCGCGTACTCATTGGAGTTTTTGGGCGCATGCACCATTGGATGAAGGTGTAAAAATAATAACAGATTTGCACACGTGGACACAATGACGTTGAAATCGGACGCGGAAAGAGTTTGTCGGATCGAGTCTTCATAGGAAGGAGTTCGTGTCAGATCTGGACTTCGTATCCGTTGCTTTTGAACGCAGAACGACGCGGAAGGGGAGCCGAAATGGAGTCGGGATATATTTGGTATCACTGATAGATAATTACTTTAGAATCTTTTTAGGTGCAGAGATTAGAGATATATTGCTTTTAATCATGGTGAGATTATATACTTTTAGGCCTTTTTTAGACCAAAATTACATGAAAACAAAGGGCTAGGAGGCGGAAGCCATAGATTTTCCAGCAGCTGTATCCGAGATGAACAGGAAAATAAATTAGGTGGGCGATGGGCTCAACCGGCCGTGCGCACCCAAATTTTTTTCTGAAGAACACGTCAGAAGCTAGGATTCCGAGATCTGGTCGGTGGGCAGGCAGCACGCACTATAAATCGCAACCCTGGCTGCGCGCGGCGAGAGACATTGCTAGGCACGCGGCTGCTGCGGTCCGACTCCGATGTCCGCCGACCGGCCGCTTCTGGTGGTGCACGACGAGGAGGAGGGCCACCTCGTGTACGACCTGCTGGTCGCCGATGACGAGGAGGAGATCAAGATGGTGGCGGCGGCCTGCTCCCCGCGGCCCGTCGCGCGCTTCCCCTCGCCGACCGGCTGCCGCGCCTTCGCCGCTTCGGGCGGCGCCGTCCTGGGCGCCTCCTACGACTTTTGGGACACCGTGTTCCACGACACGGTGATGCAGGTCGGCGGCTACGGTTTCTGGGAGCGGCAGGCGAGCCCGCGGATGCGCGACGCCGAGGGTCGCCTCGTCCGGTGGTGGCCCAAGGGCCGCGGCTTCGGCTCGCCACGCGCGTTCGGCAGCTACAGGGACGCGCCCGCCATGCTCCCCCTGTTGGTGCCGGGACCGGGAGACGCCGCCGCCGCCGGCACCGTCATCAGGATGGACACCATCCTCTTCGTCGGCATCTACGGCTTCGAGAAGCTCCGGCTGCTCCCCGTCCCCGGCGGGTGCTGGCAGTAGCACGCCGTCCTGCTCCCTGAAGCCCCCGTGTGGCGCCTGGCCGAGAACGAGCTCGCGTTCGTCTCGGCGTACTGTGCAGTGGGCACGCGCGTGTGGATCTCCGTCACCGGCAAGGGCACATTCTCCTGGACGCCGCCGACGAGCACAGCGCGACGTGGCGGACGGAGGGACGTGGCAGCTGCCATTCCAGGGCCGCGGGCTCCACGTCCCGGAGCTTGGCTCATCGGTCATCGGCCTCACCGCCGACGACAAAGGCTTCCTGTGCGCGTGCGACGTCACCACCGGGGCCGTGCGGCACGTGTGGCCGCAGACGTTCCCCTGGCCCTGGGAGGAGTGCGTCATCAGCAGCGGCCGAGTCTCGAGGCCTCGGGACATGCCAACCCTGGCGTACCTGGGCGACGGCAGGTTCTGCATCTGCAGGCCGATGAGCACCATGGAGCCGACCAACTACGGGCCCCCCATCACCTACGATGCCTGCTGCTTCTTGGTGGTGGAGCTCAAGCGCTTGTCGTCGTCGTCGAGTCTTGAGCTTGCCAAGCGTGGGAAGATGACCTACATGTGGCCGCCGCAAGGCCGGCAATCCCCATACATCGGCTTTATCCAGCCTGCCACCTGATGATCGACGACTAACACTTTAATTTGTACTACTCCACTATGTTGTATACTTTCTTATGCATATGCATCTACTTATATGTATACATGATCCGTCCGTTGAAACAAAAACAAATACAAATTGAAGAAAAGCTGTCTTTTACAATTTGATATGATATGATGCTGCTCCTCTATCAGAGGGTCATCAGCCTAGGGGAAGAAGGGAGCTTGCAGTAGGAATAGGATAGCAACTCGTGTGACTCACAAAATTAACAGATCTCTTCATATGTCCTTGCTGTTTGGTGTCACTAGCTTGGGTAATTCAGCCCATTCCCGCCAAGCTGCTATACACTTAGGGCTTGTTTGGTAGAGCTCCATCAGCTCTAGATTCATCAAATCAAATGTTGATCCAACTTTTGTAGCCAAACGCTTTTGGATCTGGCAGCTCCATCGTGGATCTGCTCCACCAAAATGGTGGATCTGCCCCAGACTCACCAAATTGGTGGAGCACCAAATCCAAGTTTGGTGGAGTTTTGAGAAATTACCCACCACTGTCACTCATTACACAAAAATAACGGTTCGTTTGTTTCTCTTTTGTTTCTTCCTCTCTTGTTGCGAGCGCTTCGCCCCCTTCCGGCCATGGCCCCTCCGCGGCCACGCTCTCCAGGTCCTCTCTGTGGCCGCACACCTCCCCGGCCGTGGCCCCTCCCTGGCCACGCCCCTCCTCGCCTCAGTTGCCATGGCCCCTCCCCGGCCGCACACCTTGTTGCACGGATTGCTCACTTGGTTCTTGGGCTACACCGAAGTTTTCGATGGCTGTCGGGTTGCGCTTGACCTGGCAGAAAAATTTGTTTTTATTCTTGTTTCTTTTGAAAAATATTATAGAAAAATGAGTCTTGTTCCTTGTGATATGCTATAGGCATGAAAAAATTTGGTCGTTATAATTGTTTATATACTTTCCCTTAGTCACATGTTATCTATTATGTCTAGTAAATCATTTCTCCCTCCATCGACACAGTCCCTGAGGAAGTGGAACTTCACGTCGATGTGTTTACTCCGGTCGTGCAGAACCGGATTCTTCGCGAGGGCGATGGCGGGCTGGTTGTCCACCATCAATGCTGGTGGGTGAGCTTCCACACCGGTCAACTCGCCCAGCAGCCGGCGTAGCCAACTTGGCACGCCACTGTGGCCGCCGCTACGTACTCTGCCTCGCACGTAGATAGCGCCACCACCTTCTGTTTCAGCGACAACCATGAAATTGGGACCGACCCGAGAAAGACGAACACGCCAGAGGTGCTCCGTCGTCCGTCGATGTCCCCCGCCATGTCTGTATCGCTGAACACAGTGAGCTGTAGCCTACTCCCGCCGGTCTTTCGGAAAATGATTCCCTGATCCACCGTCCCTTTGACGTAGCGCAGTAGCCGCTTCACCGTAGCCCGGTGATCCTCTCTAGGATCCTCCATGAAGAGACTGATGTAGCCCACGGCGAACGCAATGTCCGGCCTCGTGTGGACTAGGTAGCGCAGACTGTCGACGATGCTCTAGTAAAGTGTTGCATCCACCTTCGCCGCGGTACTGGCCTTCGTCAGCTTCAGCCGCTCCTCCATCGGAGTTACGCATGGCTTGCACTCAGCCATACCGCTCTGCTACAACAGCTTGGAGGCATACGTGTTCTGACCGAGCGTAAGTTCCTCCTTCCCCTGTCTTACCTCGATGCCGAGGTAGTAGGAGAGTGCGCCGAGATCACTCATTCGAAAACGAGCAGCCATCTCACGCTTGAAGCTGTTGATATCCTCCGTGCGTGCGCCGGTGACAATTAAGTCATCCACATACACGCCGACGACGAGCTCTTCCTTCTCCCGTCGCCGTGTGTAGAGCGCGTGCTCGGTTGCACACCGTTGAAACCCAAGCTCGCCCAGCGTGGTGTCAAGCTTGGCATTCCATGCTCGTGAGGCCTGCTGCAGCCCGTAGAGCGCCTTGCGCAGTCGGAGCACCCTGTGCTCCTCTCCCTTGATGGCGAAACTTGGAGGTTGCCTGACGAAGACCGTCTCCGCCAGCTTGCCATTGAGGAAGGCCGATTTAACGTCCAAGTGATGGACACGGCAGTCCTTTGCTGCTGCCAAAGCTAGTAGCAAACATACCAACTCCATGCGCGCTACTAGCGCAAAGACCTCCTCGAAGTTTATGCCCTCGCGCTAAACAAAGCCTCGGGCGACGAGGCACGTCTTGTGTTTGACAATGACGCCTAGCTCGTCCCGCTTGACCTTGTACACCCACTTCAGGCTGATCGGACGACATCCTGAAGGTGGATTGACGAGCTGCCAAGTCTTGTTTTCCTCGATCGCCTTTATCTCCTCCAGCATCGTCCGTCGCCAGTTTCCGTCCCGCTCGGCCAGCGTGAACGTGGCTGGTTCCTCTGCACTGACAAGCAGCAGCTCTGCGTCATTGAGCAGCCGACCAGCCAGTCCTGAGGGTCCTGTGCCACCGATGATGTCATCCAGCCTGCGAAACCGCACCTCCTTACCTTCGTGGAAGGCATCCACGAACTCAGTGATGTCACTTGGAGGTGAGGCAAACTCGATCGGCGTCGATGGAGTTCCCTGTTCCGCCAGAGTGCTCGTCACAGCACTTGGAGTGCTCGGCACCCTGGTTGCAGTGCTCGGCACTACTTCTGGACAGCTCGTCATAACTCCTGCAGTGTTCGGCCACACTGTAGGAGTGTCTAGCCTCAGTCTTGGAGTGGTTGGCACCACTGCAAGATGTCTTGGCTCCGCCATGGGAGTGCTCAGCATCCGTCCTAGAGTGGTCGCCACCACTGCAGAACCTTCCGGCACCACTCCTGGCATGCTCGGCATCTCTCCAGAAGTGCTCGGCACTCCTCCCGAAGTGATCTACATCCCTCCCGAAGTGCTCGGCACTGCCCCAGGAGTGCTCGGCTCTACCGTCGGAGTGCTTGGCACCTCTTCCCCATCGTCTCCACCACCGTGGATGACCAAGTGTTCGACGACAAAGGTGCTGGTGAAGTCGCTAGCTTCCCTCATGCTCGGACTGCTCTAGTGCCAAGCCGCCTCCTCGTCGAACACGACATCGCGCGAGACAAGCACCATGTCTCTATGTGGGTCATAGAGCCGGTACACCTTGGTACCCTCCGCGTAGCCTAGGAACACCATCGATGTGCTCCTGTCCTCCAGCTTGGTGAGGTTCGGCTTTGTCTTCCTGACGTGGCTGATGCAGCCAAATGTTCGGAGGAAGGACACGCTCGGCTTGCGCCCATACCAAGCTTCGAATGACGTCTTGCCCGTCAGGGCCATGGTCGGAGATCGGTTGAGGATGAACACCGCCTCACCCCAGAACCTTGCCGGCATGCATTTGGCCTTCATCATGGATCGGGCCATGCCGACCACCATCTGGTTCCACCTCTCCACCACGCCATTCTATTGTGGCGAGTACGGCGCGGTGTGGTGTTGCCCCACACCTTGATCTGCGCAGTACGTAGCGAACTCCACCGAAGTGAATTCGCCGCCACGATCAGTCCTCAGCACGCGGAGCTTCTTGCCGCTCTCGGCCTCCGCGCGTGTCTTAAACTTCTTGATCACCACCGTCGCTTCGTCCTTGCTCGTCAGGAGTTGCAGCCACATGTAGCGACTGCAATCATCCACAAGCAAGAGGAAGTACCGCCGACCACCATTTGTAGCAGGCGTGATCGGCCCGCAGAGGTCGTCGTGGATGAGCTCGAGAGCGTCCTTCGTGCAACACTTGGCCGTCTTTGGGAATGGTAGCCTCCTCTGCTTCCTGGCTAGGCAGTTGTCACACAGCTCGCCTCCGTGCTTGATGTGGGGTAGCCCTCGGACCATCTTCTCCAGCCGACCAAGCATGTCGAAGCTGAGATGTCCGAACCGGGCATGCCACATCCATGGTTCCTCAGAGTGCCTTGCCGCCAGGCACACCGGCTGCTCTACCTTCAGGTCGAGCAGGTACAACCGGTTTAGGGACCTCTTCACCTTGGCAAGAAGTCACTGCTCCCGGTCCCTGATCCTAAGGACTCCATCCTTGATCAGTACCTCGCTACCGTGCTCATCTAGCTAACCAATGCTGATGATGCTGGAACGCAGCTGTGGGATATAATATACATCCGTTAGCGTGAGGTGCTCCCCGTTCTGGCACCTGAAGATAATGGTGTTGCACCCTTGGATAGCCACCCTTGAGCCGTCACCAAACTTCACCATACCGGTAACATCATCATCGAGCTCGGAGAAGGATTCCTTGGAGCCCGTCATGTGGTTGCTGGCACCAGAGTCCAGATACCACCGCTGCTCCTGGTCGGCGCCCACACGTCCGAGGTGGCTTGGGCGCTTGGTTCATCGAGGTTGACAGTCTTCAGGGCCTTCCCAGGTCCTTCCACCGTCGTCGCCTCTTCCCTCTCCTCGGCCTCGACGTCATGCAGTGCACAGAACGTCGCCATCAGGATAGTGGCCTCATCCTCATCGTCTGCTTGCGCCAGGTGAGCCTGAGCCTTCTTCTCCTGCTTGTGATTTGGGCACTCCCATGCCCAATGGCCCATCTTCCTGCAACGCCGGTAGGCATTGGGGTAGACCTGCTTCTTCTCCGAAGAAGCCTTGCTGAAAGCACTAGTTTAGTTTTGGTGAATTGATGAAACCTTAAGTGCTAACCTAGTTTATCAAGAAATCATGAGATGGGTAGCACATTCCAAGTGGTGAAGCAAATGAAGATCATGACATGATGATGGTGATGCCATGGTGATGATCAAGTTTTTGGACTTGAAGAGAAGAAAGAGAAAAACAAAAGGCTCAAGGCAAAAGTATAAATGGTAGGAGCTATTTTATTTTGGTGATCGAGACACTTTGTGAGTGTGATCACATTTAGGATCGATAACCGTACTATTAAGAGGGGTGAAACTCGTATCGGAATGCGGTTATCAAAGTGCCACTAGATGCTCTAACTCATTGCATATGTATTTAGGATCTAGTGGAGTGCTAACACGCTTGAAAATGTTTGTGAAAATAT